CAGTTACATCAGCTCTGTCAGGAGGAATGGGCCAAAATTCACCCAACTTATTGTGGGAAGCTTGTAGAAGGCTACCCGAAACGTTTGACCTAAGTTAAACAATTTAAAGGCAATGCTACCAAATACTAATTGAGTGTATGTAAACATCTGACCCACTGGGAATGTGATGAAATAAATTAAACTGAAATTAATCATTCTCTCTACTATTATTCTGACATTTCACATTCTTAAAATAAAGTGGTGATCCTAACTGGGATTAAATGTCAGGAATTGTGAAAAACTGAGTTTAAATGTATTTGGCTAAGGTGTATGTAAACTTACGACTTCAACTGTAACTATAGAGAACATACAAAAATGATATGGTAATACAAAATGTAAGTTTACACACTCCCAGCAATATCATTTAGACTGTAAACTATCCTTCCAGACTCACATTAAGAATCTCCAATCCAAAGTTAAATCTAGAATCGGCTTCCTATTTCGCAACAAAGCCTCCTTCACTCATGCTGCCAAACATGCCCTCGTAAAACTGACTAGCCTACCGATCCTTGACTTTGGCGATGTCATTTACAAAATAGCCTCCAACACTCTACTCAGCAAACTGGATGCAGTCTATCACAGTGCCATCCGTTTTGTCTCCAAAGCCCCATACACTACCCACCACTGTGACCTGTACGCTCTTGTTGGCTGGTCCTCACTACATGTTCGTCGTCAAACCCACTGGCTCCAGGCCATCTATAAATCACTGCTAGGCAAATCCCCGCCTAATCTTAGCTCATTGGTCACCATAGCAGCACCCACCCGTAGTCTGCGCTCCAGCAGGTATATCTCACTGGTCATTCCCAAAGCCAACACCTCCTTTGGCCGCCATTCCTTCCAGTTCTCTGCTGCCAATGACTGGAACGAATTGCAAAAATCTCTGAAGCTGGAGACTCTTATCTCCCTCACTAACTTTAAGCATCAGTTGTCAGAGCACCTTACCGATCACTGCACCTGTACACAGCCCATCTGAAATTAGCCCACCCAACTACCTCATCCCTATATTGTTATTTATTTTGCTCTTTTGCACCCCAGTATCTCTATTTGCACATAATCTCTTGCACATCTAGCATTCCAGTGTTAATACTATTGTAATTATTTTGCACTATAGCCTATTTATTGCTTTACCTCCATAACTTGCTACATTTGCACCACTGTATATATATTTTCTGTTGTATTTTTGACTTTGTTTTTTTACCCCATATGTAACTCTGTGTTGTTTTTATCGCACTGCTTTGCTTTATCTTGGCCAGGTCGCAGTTGTAAATGAGAACTTGTTCTCAACTGGCTTACCTGGTTAAATAAAGGTGAAATAAAAATAAATAAAAAAAATCATACATGATGGATCATTAGCACACATCTAGATGGCCGGGCGGGGTGGGTGTGAAGCCAGAGACAGCAGGGGTTCAAACTGTAGATCCCAGTTCATACATTTGAATATAAAAATGAATTTTATCAAACAAAACTATGCTACATTTGATCTCTGGGACCCTCAGGATGACAAATCAGAGCAAGATTACTGAATGTAAGTACATTATTTACCTTCAGAGGTGAATGTATCAAACCAGTTGCTGAGATAAGTTTTTTGTTGTTGTGCACTCTCCTCAAACAATAGCATGGTCTTTTTCACTGTAATAGCTACTGTACATTGGACAGTGCAGTTAGATTAACAAGAATTTAAGCTTTCTGCCCAAATAAGACATGTCTATGTCCTGGAAAGTTTGCTGTTACTTACAACAGTCCTACTAATCACATTAGCGCATGTTAGATCAACCGTCCCGTATACGGAACACCGATCCCATAGAGGTTAATAGATGGTTAAACGTATTTCTATGTGCCGTTTTCTTTCTGAACTGATTTTAATGCCCATTCTAGAATTCAACAATGCTGTGGTATATATATATTTCTAACTTAACAGTAATGCATATTGTAGTCAATAAATGAGAGAAGACAGACAATGGTCTTTCATCAGGAGCAGCCTGATGGAGTGCCCTTTAAGATCAAATACCCGGATGGGAGGCTCTCTGAGTCCTTTCAGATACAGTGCCTTCGGAAAGCATTCAGACCCCTTGACTTTTTCCACATTTTGTTACGTTACAACCTTATTCTAAAATGGATTAAATAAATACAAATTGTCAGCAATCTACACACAATTTTAGCAAATGTATAAAAAAGTATGAAAAGAATTTACATAAGTCTTCAGACCATTTGCAGGGAGTCCACCTGTGGTAAATTCAATTGATTGGACATGATTTGGAAAGGCACACACCTGTTTATATTAGGTCCCACAGTTGACAGTGTATGTCAGAGCATAAAACTAAGCCATGAGGTCGAAGGAATTGCTCAGAGACAGGATTGTGTCTAGGCACAGATCTGGGGAAGGGTACCAAAACATTTCTGCAGCATTGAAGGTCTCCAAGAACACAGTGGCCTCCATCATTCTTAAATGGAAGAAGTTTGGAATCACCAAGGCTCTTCCTAGAGCTGGCTGTCCGGCCAAACTGAGAAATCGGGGGAGAAGGGCCTTGGTCAGGGAAGTGACCAAGAACCCGATAGTCACTGACCAAGAACCCGATAGTCACGACCAAGAACCCGATAGAGTTCCTCTTTGGAGATTGGAGAAACTTCCAGAAGAACAACCATCTCTGCAGCACTCCACCAATCAGGCCTTTATGGTAGAGTGGCCAGACGGAAGCCACTCCTCAGTAAAAGGCACATGACAGCCCGCTTGGAGTTTGCCAAAAGGCACCTAAAGACTCTCAGACCATGATAAATAAGATTCTCTGGTCTGATGAAACCAAGATTGAACTCTTTGGCCTGAATTCCAAGCATCACGTCTGGAAGAAACCTGGCACCATCCCTAGCATGGTGGTGGCAGCATCGTGCTGTGGGGATGTTTTTCAACGACAGGGACTGGGAGACTAGTCAGGATCAAGGCAAAGATGAACAGAGCAAAGTACAGAGAGATCCTTGATGAAAACCTGCTCCAGAGCGCTCAGGACCTCAGACTGGGGCGAAGGTTCACCTTCCAACAGGACAACGACCCTAAGCACACAGCCAAGACAACGCAGGTGTGGCTTCGGGACAAGTCTCTGAATGTTCCTGAGTGGCCCAGCCAGAGCCCAGACTTGAACCCGATCGAACATCTCTGGAGAGACCTGAAAATAACTATGCACCTACCTGACAGAGCTTTGATGTGTAAAATGATCACTATACTTATTAAAAATCAAAGTTCTTCCAGAGTTTTTGTAGAATCAAGATAGACTTTATTACACAGAGTAACGGAGCCGAGATGGTCTGCAGAGCACCTCCCCTCTACCTCTCAGCTCTCCGTTTATATAGTCATATTCACATACTTCTTAGCTTAAAGCCCCTCCCTCTTGGGATCCCCCACCACCATCTTCAGTTTCCCTCTCTCTACCGCTCTGCCCACTTCCTTAGTCTATGATAGCGGCTAAATTTGACTTTTAGTAGTACAATCAATCCAGCCCTTATCATTCAAAAACACTCATGTTCAGTTTAAACTCTGTGCAACCCCTGCTCTCCCTGACTTGACCTGAAGATTGATTGTTGGACATGACAGGTCCACACTTAATCATTCAAACATACCCAAACCCACTCCTCTCTTCCCTCCCATCATGCTGTAATTACTCATGATTAGTCTAGACTCTGTTTAATTCTGGCGCCGCTCTCTCTCTACTTTGTTTGAGGAGCGATGCATTAGGCAACAGTCTGGTTTCAGTGTCTGATAAGGTAGGACAGCCATGGATTAGGTAAGAGCAAGTAATTCGACCCTAGGTCAGATCCCCACTTCACACACACACCCAAACCCAGTGAAAGGAACCATTCAAGTTCTTGCCTAGCAACAGAGAATCTTGACTATATGTTCATCACATCTGTGATTTAACTTTGTTTATCCAATAGTTTACAACAAAAAAATTCATCAGCTTGAGAGGATCTGCAGAGAAGAATGGGAGAAACTCCCCAAATACAGGTGTGCCAAGCATCATACCCAAGAAGACTCAATGCTGTAATCGATGCCAAAGGTGCTTCAGACCTTTTACTACTGAGTAAAAGGTCTGAATACTTATGTGAATGTGATATTTAAGTTTTTTATTTGTAATACATTTGCAAAGAAATTCTAAAAACCTGTTTTTGCTTTGTCATTATGGGGTATTGTGTGTAGATTGATGATATATATATATATTTTTTAAATACATTTTTGAATAAGGCTGTAACGTAACAAAATGTGGAAAAAGTCAAGGCGTCTGAATACTTTCCGAAGGCACTTGTTGATAAACTCAGTACTATAAATGTACATTTCAGGCTGAATTACACATTGTTATGTTGGTCTTTTGTTATGGAGATGTTTGATTTCGTGGGGGAGGATGATGCCTTGAGCAAAGTTTTTACCCTCCAGGCGGCAGCGGGATTCGCAACCCTTGAGAGCACGATTAACGGGTCATTGGAGGAGCATGTGACTAGCATGACACTTCTTAATAATAATACATTTGATGTTTGTATCGGACTACAGTTGAACCACTTGATAGTTATAACCTTTGTGTGTGGTTGTTTCTGTCCAATTATAGGCAATCCCATCGCCTCGTCTCTCACCTGCCCCCTCTCAACACCTCTCACCTGTGCTCTCTTCTCACCTTTCACCTGTCCTCTCTTCTCACCTCTCACCTGTCCCCTCTCCTCACCTCTCGCCAGCCTCCTCTCCTCTCCACTCACCTGCTTCATCACCAAACTTTCCTTCTTATCACCCCTCACCCTCAACATCCTCACTCTTTTCTTCTTTTCACCCCTCATCTTCTCACTCACTTTCTCCTTCTCCCTCACCTCCCTCATCTCCATGATCGGATCCAGAGACTGAGTGAGTTGTTTTAAGAACGGACCTACATGCTGTTATATGTACGCTCTGGAGCTGAGTGGACCAGGATAACTGCCCCATCGCCAACATGATAAACGTTCACAGGGGCAACGTCCTAAACAGTAGCCTGCATTCGTTTCAACGCCAAAACTTTAATACAGGGGCTAAGCTGGACGTTGCCTTTGTGGACGTTGAGTCCAAAGTGGAGGGGGCAGTTGACCAAGGGGGTCCCTCCAGGGAGTATTACAGGCTCCTCATGAGGGACATCAGGGACTTGGCCATCTTCGAGGGTCCCGAAGGAGTGAAACGGCTGTCCCTTGATGTCCATGGTAAGCCTTATCTTTTCTTTTTACCTGTGTTAAGGTCTAATTTTCATGTAAAACACAGAATTTAAGCCAAAACAATTAGTGAAGAGGCTTTTTCAGGTGCCTTGTCTAGGGCGAGAGATCATAGGGATAATAAAGCTGGCACACATTTGAAATTGTCATTTTAGCATTACGAGGGCCTGTATGGAACCATTGGAAAAATGGTCAGTGTGTGTGGTCCATTGAGGGGATGGGCCACACTTCTTCTCTGAGCAACTCTGAGCAGCAGTGTGTGGGAAGCCTGCTCCTCCACTCAGTCCAGAGGAGGTGAGCCACACTACTCTGAGAGCACATTTGGACAATGTACGTTTTATGTCCTTCTAACAGCAAAATAAAATATTAGATAATCCTTCTTTGTTTAAAATTATCGATTGCCTGTCATACATTTTTTATCAGAGGTGAAGAACAAATTTGAGGAATCGGTAGACTGGCTGAGCCTACTGGGGCTGAAAATGATTATTTTCAAGACAATGGAGGACAGGGATGTTGTGGTTGAATTGGTGGCTCAACAATTTGTCAAAGGGAGCATGCAGGTGGCCTTGGAGCAGTAAGTCAACTCTGTTATAAATCTATGTGAAGTACTTATCATTACCTCCTCTAACATAAATATTTATAATCGGTCAACCCCCCCCCCCCCCCCCCCCCCCCCCCAAATCAATACACAACACTATATTGTCCTTAGCACTTATTTTTTTATATGCAGTACATACTCTCTCTAAACCATAACAGGTTCAAATATGATCTCAACACTCTTGGGCTGCTGGAGGCATTGGGGAACCACCCGGACAGCTTCCGAGCACTTTTTATGGACCCCATAAAGCCTCCCACTGCCAGGGACCTGAGAGACATGTTTAAAGTCACCTATTCCATACCAGTCGGCAACTGGCGGTGGTTGGAGAATGACACCATCTGCCACTAGTTCAACTGGCTGGCCGAGGTGCAAGGTAAGATAGTAGTTCAATTGTTAAAGTTTATCGGCAACTGCATATTATTCCATTTCTGTATTTTAAATGTTTTACTGTGTACTCCTCAGATGGAGAATGTCCTCCTTTAACAGTGGCGATGGTGTTGGAGTTTGCTACCGGTGCGACGGTTGTGCCAACCCTGGGGTTTGAGGAAACCCCAACCATCGAGTTCCTCCACACAGCGAGAGGCAGTCTCGCTGGGCAGCAGAATAAAAAGTACCCAGAGGCAAACACGTGTGCTGTGACACTAAGGCTCCGTCTTGAGGTTGGGTGATTGTGGAGGCCAGGTCATCTGATGCAGCACTCCATCACTCTCATTATTGGTCAAATAGCCCTTACACAGCCTGGAGGTGTGTTGGGTCATTGTCCTGTTGAAAATTGTTATTTGTCACATGCTTTGTAAACAACAGGTGTAGACTAACAGTGAAATGCTTACTTACGGGCCCTTCCCAACAATGCAGAGATAAAAGTAGAAATATAATAGAAAGATAATAACAAGAGGAATAAATAGACAAAGAGTAACACCTAACACATCACACATAACAAAGAACTTGACCCCAAAACTGTGCCTTTTGGAGGGAATGTATTGACGGAACACCAGCCTACCCTTCTATAACATCAGGGACTTGTCAGTGTATAGGTCCTTGTATGGCACAAAGACCTGACCAAATGCTGATGTCAGCCTGGTAAGAACATTTCTTATTTTGTGTAAGGGGTCATTTGGGTTGGCAGTAGCATTGTTGACCAAATGCAGCCATTGCAGCATAACTAGGAAGCGATCTTGGGAAAAGAGAGTGGCAAAGAAGGGAGTTGTAAACATAGGATCCGTGCTCCAGTATCGCCTTAGGGAGTTCTTGTCACGCTCGTTGACAGATGAAGCGGACCAAGGCGCAGCGTGATAAGCGTACATTCTTTATTTGTGTACACAACACGAACGAAAACAATAAACAAACGATACGTGAAGTCCTAGGTTACAACACAAACCTTTCGGAACAAGATCCCACAAAACTAACATGCCAAAAGGCTGCCTAAGTATGGTCCCCAATCAGAGACAACGAGCTACAGCTGCCTCTGATTGGGAACCACCCTGGCCAACATAGATCAAAACGAACTAGAACCAAAAACATAGAAAACAAAACATAGAAAATCCACACCCTGGCTCAACATATAAGAGTCCCCAGAGCCAGGGCGTGACAGTTCTTCTTCACTATTCCCATGAGAAGGACTGTCACCAGGAAGGTATACATTTCACTAATTGTGGTTGTCACCCATTTAGCGAGCCACAATGTTGGGGGGCAGCTCCTCACTGTCACTTTTCAGAATCTAATTCCTCACTTTCATACTCAGACTCATTGTCAGAATGTTTTTTAAATCTCCAGAATTTCTGCATTTGTGAGTTGTCTCCTTTTGAAAGACATTGCTAATTCTACAGCTTAGCCCACTAGCTACATACATAAATAACAACACTGAATGGCTCCAAGTGAGTGTCAGAGGTTACGTGATTGACTGCTGGCACGCACCACTTATCAATAAATAAATCATTATCAGAAAATGGTTTGTGTGGTCATTATTTATTTATTTACTGTTTTATTCACGTTTTCAAGTACTGGTGAAAAATCGTGCATTCCAGTTCTTGCATAAATTGTAATGGACACATATGATGTGTCTAAAATACTTTTTTGAAGGTTGTACTGATTATGATGAGCTAATGCTAAGCTAATTGCCAGCTATTTGTGGAGCCAAGTTTGTTGATATCATACAATGCATTCTGGGTTTCACGTAAACATCTGTCAGACCAAAGATGTTATTACAAAACGAGGTAAAGGGATGGTTCACTCGTCTTCCGAGTAAACTTCCGGAAGAGAATGATGGGAAGTGAATGATGGCAGACAACAAACTCCTTCAGCATACTGCAAACAGACACAACTCATCTTGTCACCTCTTATTATCTTTGGTTGGTGCAGAAAAACAAACATGGCGGCTCACACAAACTACTTTAGACTTTAAGTGTTTTACTCAATTCCTTCTCTGCAATTCAAATCGGAAAAAAAAAAAAAATTATCGATAAAACGATACAGCTGTTTTACTAATCGCATCAACAACCTTTCCTCTAACTTTTTATAAACCACAGAACTTTTGAACACTTTCCCAAAAAGTTAAGACAAAAAGTTAGTGTATGAAATGTTCCTCTACTTCTCTGCTATTCAAATCAGAACAAAAGTATCTGCTAACCATACAGCCGTTTTATTAACCACATTAACATATGTTTGTTCTACTTTTTCCAAACAACAGACATTTTTACAACTTTCGCAGCACTTTACACAAACACTTAGAGGGCATGACATCTTGGTCTACTTCTCTGCTTCTAAAATCTGGAATCAGAACATAATTGTCTTCTACCAATCAAAGTTACAGCTGTTTCTCAGAGTTCAGAGTGACGAAAAGTAGCTAGCTAACGCCAGATAACAGCTATCTTATGTCTCGTCATTGAGCAGCCCAAACAGAGCCGTTGCTATGGATACCAATGCATTTCAATGGCAAAAAAAGGCCCATAGTCTAGAATGGTAAAAACATAAACATTTCTAGACCTATTTCATCTTTCACCATTTAAGCTATCAACTCCAAACCAACATTGAGATGCTCAGACTGACCCTACTTAGATTGCTTGTCAAAATATTTTTTATACTATATATATTTTATGAACTATAACCATTTCCAATTTGCATCAATTAATATGGGTTTGAGTGAGAACCATATGAATACAGAGGGAGCTATTCAAAATGGTCCTGCTCCTTAGTAAATTAAGTTACAAGATCAACTTTAAAACAATCAGGCTATCTTAACATGAAATTCTTAAAAATCTTTATAATCTATAACTATATAAATTTGCATGAAATAAATCACAAACAGTAACTATTGAAACGTTCAAGCTAGATACACCAAACCAACTTTTACATGTTCAGGCTATCTTAACTTCTAGTTCTTTAAAACTTTTATCAACTATAACTATAAACATTTGCATAAATTAACATACCAATCAAAAGTTTCAGCTGTTTGTCGGAGTTTAGAGTGAGAAAAAGTAGCTAGCTAACGTCAGCTAATAGCGCTATCATGTCTCAACTTTGAGCAGCCCAAACGGAGCGATTGTTATGGATACTCATGCGTGCAGAGGACCGCATGGGGCAGTGCAGGGAGCGAGGGACAGACAGAGACAATCAGCTACTGTATGGATACTAACAGAGGAAGTTACTGTATTTCTAATTTCAGGTTGAGCAATTGGGCCCGGGTAGGGTAGGGCCTGAACATCGCCGGCATGGGTAGGATTCATGCTAAAATGTCATGCCTTTCTGCTTTTATTTTCTTTCAAACTTCTGACCACTTTCCCAACAGGTTAGATATTCCTCTGCTTCACTGCTATTGAAGCTGAAATGGTGATCACTGTTAGCCTAAAGAGTTCAATTATAAGATATAACTACAGATAGCTATCAGTAGGTCTACATAGTTCCTCAACTACTACACAAATAATTTTAAAGCGCTGTCATCACTAGAGGCACCATCATATTTCTCTCACCAAATAATAGCCTAAAACATTCTAATTCCTCATGAGTTCCTCCCTTCCACAACAGCAAAAAAAATTTGCCGAACCATGATTTCTTTTTTCTCGTTTCAAAATGGACTGCATTTTATGACGGACTACAACAACCAGAAACAGGATGTTAGCTAAGCTTGAATGAATTAATGGATTTGCAGTAGGGAAAACGACAGGGCATCTGACTAGTTGGACTGCATAATGCCAACAAGATAAGGTGAGTCCAATATAAGAACATTTGAGTTTCTATCTGACTTTGAATAGCAGACCTGCGAGTTTCCTAATACTCTATAATGTTTGGTCATTAGATCATAATTCAACTAAAATCAAACTTCATTTACACTTAACGTTTTACAAAAGTAAATGCATCTATTTATCTGAAACACACAGCATGAATGATTCACAGTTGCTTTGCTTTTCTAAGAGTGTTGTCCACGTGATCCTGCTTTTATTCCTATCTTCTGACAGAAGATCGCTTTCTTCTATGTCATTCTTCTTTCAGTTTTCACACGCAACAACTGTTGTTTAGACATTTCTGTAATCTAACTGCCCCACAAGCCAAAGTAATAAAGTTGATAAAGTAGTCTATCGAAGTAATCAGACCAATTATTTTACTAAATTGAACTTTGACTGTATGTAACTGCTCCCGAGTGGCACAGCGGTCTAAGGCACTGCATCTCAGTGCTAGAGGTGTCACTACAGACCCTGGTTCGATTCCAGGCTGTATCACAATCCGGCCGTGATTGGGAGTCCCATAGGGCGGCGCACAATTGGCCCACCGTCGTCCGGGTTTGGCCGGACGTAAATAAGAATTTGTTCTTAACTGACTTGCCTAGTTAAATAAAGGTAAAAAAAATCAAAATGCTTTTCTTTAAATAGTAAAGTAAAACTTTTTAAACTTCTTCCACAACCACAAAAATACATTTAAAGATCTAAAGCAAGAACCACAACTTTACTTCATGTAAAGTTACCATCAAATTTTACACAATATCTTATCACAGCACTGGCAAACCATGGTTGACCAACTCCCTGACCAAAATGGTTGACCTTTAGACCATTATCAGAAGGTTAATGTCCATTCTAGTATTTTAATTCCAAATTATATGGTTTTATAGCTAAATCTCATTATATTTTAGACATTTTGCCATGAGGCTGAGATAAAATGTTGCTGTAAATGACAAGGCATTTACTTAGGAATCACATAGGCCTAGTATGACAATCACACAATTGCACATGAATGACTTTGTTTCTTTGGACCTAGCACCAGAAGTATACACAATTTGGTAGTGTCCAATTGAGTTGAACTAGTAACAAAAAAGTAAGCTACTACCCTACCTATTTATATAATTTCCTATCAAAAACAGGTTATACCAGTGGAAAGAGTATTGCAAAATAAAGTGCTACTGCACTGATTTTATCAATGAGGTTTATAGTGTTAACATACCCATGCTTACTGTACACTTTTCTATGGTGCACCAAGTGTGGGGACAACTGCATTAAAGTAACTGTCCAGTGTTTCCAGATTTCTATGAAATATGACCTATAATTAATTGCAATATGAGTGAAATAGTTTTCCTTCCAAAAATGGTAATTAAGTATGT